ATTTTATTTATGTATTGCTTTTAAGTAATTGAAATAACATTGCTATTTTACTGCAACAAGCAATATGAAATAAATTATTTTGGAGTGACTGGGAAACTGGGGACAGTGGTGGAGGGAAGGTCACCCTAGTGTTGGAACACTGATGCTTAAACAAATGTTTTGTGAACTACTTTGTAAATCATGATGTTTAAATACAGTTAAAATTTTTAAAACAAGCAAATAATATAGCATGGATTTTAAAGGTTTTCAGTGTGCTTCACTGGGGACCCGGTGGGTATAAGTTGTGTTCCTTTCACCATTTGGAGTCCACTGTTGCTCTTGAACAGATGGTTCTCCCATTCGTCCTCATTTACCCACCCAAACTCTTCTTTCTCTCCTGGTGACCCCCACATTGCTCACATAGCCCCAGCGTTCACTTTTGTTTTAGGTCGTTGAACCGTTTTCCCTTCACATAGCATGTTTTCACTCCCTTGCTGTTTATTATCACTCTCTATGCTCTCTGACAGCAGTGCAAGTAGACTTATCACGCATGAGCATAATGAATCTTATCATTTCAGAAATAGTGTAATGACCATCGGAGAACATCACTTATCCATGGTCTAATGTGCTTTATGTATAGTGCTCAGAAATACCTTGGATGTCAGCTGCATTTGGGGTTCAGTATTGTGAAGCCCTAATCAGCTAAGTACCATAATCCTTCTTACAGAGTACATTCTTACTTGACCTGGAACTATATGCGGCCACAGTCACAGCATTACAGAGTAACCTTTTCTTCACTAGAGGATTCTGTGGCTCGGTCATGAGCCAGGGCTGTTTGATGTGTAACTTTTTAGTAATTGAATTTGGAATACAATGATTGTAAGCCTGAGGAGACTCTCTGATCACCTGATTGAGGCCGACTCATGCTGCAGATAGAGCCAGAAGAATGACATGAAGGCACTGCCTGGCAGAGTTGATATATAAATATATATTTTTTGTCAACATGATGCTTTATCCTCGACAGATGTGCATTGGTGTTGAGCAAAAGGTAAAACTATACAGATGCGTTCAACATTGGTTGTTTTAAAAAGATTGATCTATTTTATGTCTTTTGACAAATATGAACTGGTTTGCTAAGAATTTCTGTAGAAATTCTAGAAAGGGAACCATAATACATTCTGTGTTTTACAAGATTACTTCTGTTGAATTCTTCATTTAATGTTCTTATGGTTTCAAATTTGACTGCAACATTATATTAGACTATATGGTTAGTGTTGTGTGATGTAATTAATTAAAATTTTATTTAGCAATTACAGGCTTTATAAAAGCTTTATAAAAGATGAAAGTCTTTCTCACAATTGAGTCTTCAAACTCATTTCTGTTTTTATTTAAATATGATGATACTTAACAATCTCTACTAATAAATATTATGAGTAAGAGATTTTCATATAGAATTGTAAGATAAAATTTTTACATTTTTCTCACTAATCTATGTTGTTATGAGTTTTAAGAGATAAAAATTCATGAATCTAAAAACTCCAGTTTCCCAGTAGTCTTTCACTGTTCCACAAAATTTTTTCAAATGTTTTCTAGATTAAAATGACCAGAAACTTGATTGCTTTATAGTTTTATATGATCAGTACTTTGTGTATGCTAATAAAGCAGTGAAATGAAACAGATCATTCATATTGTAAAAGGAACTACATGTTTAAAAAAACAGTATGTAAATTGAGAATATCTTTGAGAAATTGGAAAAGTGAATTATTAAAAAAGAAATTTTATTTGGGGTTTTTTTATAAATAAGTATTATTTTTAGACATAGACTTTTGAAGAGAATAAGTTTTGTTCTCAAACCATTTTGCCTAATTATAATGTGATTTGTAAGCAGTTAGAATATTTTTAATATAGTTTTATATAAACTGATTCCAAGTCTAACAACTATATTACAGAGAAAGAGCAAAGGGTTGTTAACAATCTAGTTTTCAATAAAGAGATAGCAGAAGAGCAGTAGCAGCATTAGGTAATTGGCTTTTTGAGTAGAATGAAGAACTATTGAGTAAATATAAAATTAATACAAGTATGTTTTGATAGGTTATATGAGTAATTGAATTATAGAATTAAAAATTAAGGCTGTTTACAATGTCACATCAATTTTATTATAAAGAAAGGCATAGTTTTTGATTCTGCTTCTCTCAGTGTCTTTGAAAGTATAAGGTGAAATATAACATAGATATAATAATAAATGTAATATTTGACAAATGCTCCATTCATCTGAATTTGTGGTAAACTTAAGGATTAGATACTGTGTTGAATGCATGTTTAAAGGAACATACAAATTATCATTATATTATTTTACCTATAATTTAAGTAAAATTTTCCAGTGATAAAATTGTTGATGATTTTTTGAAAAAATAAGTCAGTGTTGGAAATAGAAATTACAGATGCAGTAATTTTCACAGGTGATTCCTCTCTCCAATCCTAGAAAAGTAGTGTCTATAACTTTTCAGTTTTAAGTTAAGGGAGAGCATATATGAAATAATTATGTAGTTGGGAAAAGTAATTTTGACTATTTTCATATTTTGATTAATTGGTAGCAGATTCATCACTGTTTTGTTAAGAAATTTTTTGAAATAAATTCCTGCCTTTCAGCATAGCTTTAATAAGTTTCTCTACCTTAAAATGTCTAATTCCATGTTAAGCAATGACAATAGTCATTCTAATTTCAGAAGCCATGTTCTATACACTGTTCTAATTTTACTTAAACCCAATACAAGTTAGCATTTACAGTATGATTCACATTTCAGTCAAATTTTATGATCTCCAGAACAAACTGATTGCTGGATTAATATTGAGTTCACTTTATCCAAGGTACAATTTTTAAAAAGCACTTTGATAGCTTGCTAAGGACTAATTATTAATAATCCTTACTTTGGAAATAAATTCTATTGTTAGTTAGTATTCATCTTCATCAGTAGATGTTAAATATACCCTGCATAACAAAGGCTCAGGATAGCTCACTTTTTGCAAATTCCTTAACTTGTTTATTATGTTTCTTTTTTATTTATATAAATTAAAAATGTTAATTTTAAAGGAAAATTTCTTAAATTAATTGCATAAAGTGTTACACTTTTCATATTCCATAATATCCAGCATCATGTTAACTATATATACATAATATATATATACATATATGTAATGTCATGTAGGTTAATACTATAACATTTATTTTGAACACCGTTTCTATTACATATTTCAAAGTGTAGAAATCTATGATTTTCTGTAACCATTTTAACCTGTATAAAATTTCTAGTTAAATACTAAATGTTTTATGTATGTGAAGACAAGATGATAAGCAAAATCACATTTGTTTGCTTTAAATCATAAAATATTTAGGACAGTGCACTCATTCTGCATTTAATATAATACTTTGATTTTTAGGGTCCAGATTTTAGTTTACCCTGATGAAGCACTTATCTGGGAATTAAAATAATGCACACAGGGATATATATACAAAAGTCACTGTTATTCAGCACCAGTTATTGGCAGGTAGTTGGATAAATATGGAAGTCTTAGTGGTTTCTGAGCAAGCTCCTGCTAACTGATCACTTCAGTGTTTTCAGCAGTTGAGACAGAATTCATGGCAAATTATCAAAAACTCTCGAGATTCCCAGCAGCTTTTTGTGTCCATTTTGAGATGCCTTGCCTTAGTTCTTCAGACCGAGATGAGTAGCGTTGCCTTCATTCCTCTGAGCTGGCTGAACAGTTAAATGACTCCTGGGCTTCTGATTCCTGTGTTATAACTCCAGCATGGGAAAACTAGAGCATGAATTCTGTTTTAGTACTGAACTCTAATTGGTCTATCAGCAGACTATGGTCCAAGTATAGGAGAAAAGGTGTTCCTTGTTACAGAGGAGAGAGATACTATTGCTGAGACGATGAACACACACATCTCTTTGTGCTGCCCTTGCTCTCCCCCCACCCTCCAATATTGCCTACTGAGCTGTTCAATTCTTAATTATCTTTAATTTCAGGTGACCATTCCTTTTCACTATCTCCTGTTTATATGTTTTGGGAAAAAGCCTATCCATTGTTCTCAACTTCTTCTGTCATCTTCAGGTTTCTGTTTCATTTGCTTCACATGCCTAGTGGTTGATTTTATCTGAATTCATACCAGGGAGGAGGGAAGTATGACTGGTTACCCATAACATCTGTGGTTCTGCTCCAACTACCCAGTTCTACTGGCATGAGAAGAATAGGCAGTGTCTTTCTTCAGCTCTTTTCTCTCGGGTTGGAAGGAAGTATGAGGTCATAGCTGTCATAGCTGGTCTTAATGAAGATGTGTTAGAAATGCAAGTGTTTCCTTAAATCCAGAGTTATTGTGATAAATGAATGATTAGTGTTGACATTTATGCAAATTGCGTGTCTCACATTAGTGTTGTCAAGAGGGTTGGAGACGCAATGATAAAATGAAGATTTAGATGAAACAGTGTTCAGAGAGATCTAGATAGGTGACAAATAGGAAATGATGTTTGAGATTCAGCCCTTCACTTTAGTCAGAAAATATTCAAATCTTGAGCCCAGTTAGTTTTCCTTCGTTGTGTTTTTAAGTAACTTCCACATCAAGGTGTCAGGAGAAGATGGAATGGAGGCTGGGATTTTTTCTAAGCTTCTGAATAGCAGTTGGGAGCTGGCCAAGTGTCCTTAACTAATAAACAAGGACATTTGAACTAAGACTGTAGTTGAGCTGCAGAATATGATTAGCTAATTTCAGGGAGCAAATATTCTCTAGAGGTAGAATTTCAGGAATTAACAAGTATATCATAAGTACTTTTTTTGAATTCCCTAACTTGAACTATATAAAATGAGTATTAGCAAAACTTTTGTGATGGCAGGACTTTAGAATGAAATTTAAAGGGAAGCAGAGGAGCTATTTAATTTTATTCATCAATCTGCCAATAAATTCGTTGAATTGACAGCTGCTTAAAGGTTCTTCTCACCATCCTTTTCCTTTGGTTGCTTAGGCAAAGAAGTCCTTCGGTGTCTAGAGATCAGAGCAGGAGGTACGAGCCAAGGGAAGACAGAGAGGACTATTCACAATATGCTCCATCGGACAGTGCCATGCTGGGCTCTCCCTCTGACTACCCGGACATGCGGTCTCAGCGGGAACCCCAGTTTTATGAAGATTCTGATAATCTAAGTTACAGGGATTCCAGCAGGAGAAGTCACCGGCATTCCAAAGAGTACCTTGAAGATGATGAGGATGTGGAGAGCAGAGATGAGTACGAGAGACAAAGGAGAGAGGAGGAGTACCAGGCGCGCTACCGGAGCGACCCCAACCTGGCCCGTTATCCAGTGAAGCCACAGCCCTATGAGGAACAAATGCGGATCCATGCCGAAGTGTCCAGGGCACGGCACGAGAGAAGGCACAGCGATGTTTCTCTTGCCAACGCTGAGCTGGAAGATTCCAGGATTTCCATGCTGAGGGCTGACCGCTCCCCTAGGCAGAGATCCATATCAGAGCGCAGAGCGGCCTTGGAGAACCAACGGTCTTACTCCATGGAAAGAACTCGAGAGCCCCAGGGGCCAAGTTCTTATCCACAAAGGACCACAAACCATAGCCCTCCCACCCCCAGAAGGAGCCCCATCCCCATTGATAGACCAGACTTGAGACGTGCTGACTCCCTCCGGAAGCAGCATCATTTAGACCCTAGCTCCGCGGTCAGGAAAACTAAACGGGAAAAAATGGAAAGCATGCTAAGGAATGATTCGCTCAGTTCGGACCAGTCCGAGTCAGTGAGACCTCCACCACCAAAGCCTCATAAATCAAAGAAAGGAGGTAAAATGCGCCAGGTATCATTGAGCAGTTCAGAGGAAGAATTAGCTTCCACTCCTGAATATACAAGTTGTGATGATGTTGAGATTGAAAGTGAGAGTGTGAGTGAAAAAGGTAAGCATTCGATTCTAATCATACCTTTCCCTGTAACTGGTTAGATAAGGCTTTTCTATTTTAGGTTGCCTTTCTGCATATACACTAAAGAGCTGCTACCTTTATTTCAGAAGCCTTAATTTAACGGTGTTGGTTATGTGGAAAAAGTTAAGGTGATAAAAAAGCGAATGTCTTGTGTTGTATATGTGGAAGTAAAGTGTTGGTTTAAAAAAATTTTTTGCATTATGTCTGGAATATTTCTTCTACTTTATGACATATTAAGATAGTTACTAGCTATAGTTGGACAATCACGTATTATGTTTTATTTAAGACATTGTGTTCACTATATAGAAATCAGAAAAACTTCCCCAAGTGAAAAGATGCAATATAAGCTATCTATAATTCTTTTTGCCAAATTAATCATTATTAATGTTTTGTTACATTTTCTTCCCTTTTCCTATGCATGCCTATTTTACATATTTATGAAACCAGTATCATACTGGATATAATTTTTTATTCTGATTTATTTCAATTAATATTATATCATTAATTTTTTTCCAAACCACTAGCTGTTCCTTAGAAAGATGCTTTTAATGACTGCACTGATCTTCTGTGATAAGGAGGTGCCACAAAAGATTGCTTTTTGGGGAGACACTGCAATAAATTGTAACTAGTAGTTTTCACAATACCACAATGTTATATCTTTGTCCAAATATTTTTTAATTCTCTGGATATTTCAAAAATAGATTTGTACTTTTTATTTAATTTGATTCTTTTGTGCTTTTAACTCATATTCCAAGTTGCCCAGAAAGATTAATACTTGTTAGATGTGCTAGATCTTTTAGTTTTGAAGCACGAAGTGTTTGCCAGTATTATAGACCACAAAATCATTCTCTTTGTCATCTTAGAGTATGATTGTGACATTTATTGAAAGTTTTATGTGTTTATTGGTGTTTGATGTATTTCTCTATGAATTATCTGCACATTACTTTTATCCTTTCTGCCCATATTCCTTTTGGGTATTAGGTTTTCTATTACTGATTTATGAGAACTTTTTGTGGTTAATGTTTTACCCATTTAATTGTCATCTCTTCCAAATGCGTTCTTCGTTTTGCTATATAATCTACTATTTTTCTTCGGTAGTTTTGAAATATTGAATTTAATATTCCTAAATCTTTGGAATTTCTCTCTAACTCTATTCTCATGTCAATTATTCAGCTGTATGATTTCTTATGCTTTTATTTATTGACTTTAGTCTTTTAATCTTTCTGCAATTTATTTTGGTGCATGCCATAATACACTAGATACATGAATATCTAAAATGATTCCTGCATACCAAATTCTTTGTTGATGCATGTGTGAACATACACACACATACCCACACAGATATGTTTGGTAAACATATTTGGTAAATGATCTATTTATTGTGTATAAGAATTCATGGAAATCAAAGGAATTCAAGAAGGCTGCTATATATGAAATTTATATAGAATAATTTATACTGAACCAAAATAATTTATTAGAAAATATAAATGAAAAGTAATTCCCATTAAGAAAAAAAACCCAGAAAATGTTATATAAAATAGTCTCACAGGAGGAAAACCATGAAGCTGTAAGGAGTGACATAAAAGAAGATGTGAATAGATATGCATTTCATGTACTAACTGGGAAGGCTAAATGCTATAAACATGCCCGTTCATTCCCAAATAATCTCTTGCAGAAAATAACATCCTGATCATAATCCAGCAGAAATCCTTAGAGTTTAGTTCCTAAAGTTAAGCTGGTAGATGTAGAAGAGGAAAAATTTACCTCTTTCCCCCTGCCTGCACCATTCACTTTAGATTTATGGGTGTGTTTGTTGGGGGGCATGGGGGGTCATTATGTTAGAAAACTGAGACAAATTAATACAGGTTAGATAGGTTTATTCTCCTGTGTACTGTGGCACTCGTTTATGAGGCAGGTAGAACTTGGGTTTATAAAGCCATCTTGACAGAAGAACAATACATTTTTGGAGAGATGACAAAACAAAGGAAAAGGATCTTAGTTTTCAGGCAGCAAGTTATGGGGCATGTAAAGTTTGCGACCTCATGAAGTGAAGGGTGATGAGAGAGGTTAGTGAAGTTTCCTGTGTGGATTTCTCTGGCACCATCTTTTGAACTGATAAAGAGTGATTAGTCCCTCCTGCCATGGTAAGGGGGCTTCTTTATATAGAAGCTTTTAGGCAAATGTGGGAGGGCAGAGGACTTCTCTTATATCTGCTTAAAATACATCTGCAGTTCAAATAAATCAAGGCTGAACATTATACTAGTTAAGATGCTGGAAATGGAGTTAGGGCCCAGTCTGGGTCCCAGGTTTGTTTGACCTGCGCAGGGAAGAATTCAAGAATGAATCAGAGATTTAAAGAAGAGAAGAGACTTATAAAATAATATTTAAATAAACACTAAGGATCGGAGTGCAGGCATAATTCAGGGTTAGTAGCTCAAAAAATCTCCACAATGCCTCATTTGTACAGGTAAAGAAGAGGGCACATTAGCTAGAGATAGAGTATTCATGATTTTTCAGGGAAGAAGTAGGACTCTGGGGTGATTTCATGGAGTCAAGACACCACCCATATTCTGACCATATTGGTCACTTCCAGTCACTTGTCATGGCAATTGTAAACTGTCATGGCACCAGTAGGAATGCTTTTTATTATACAGGTATATTAAAATTAGTTGGACGTTGTCCCTTGGTAACCTGATCCTTCATGCCTGATTCTCTAGGCTCCAGCCAGTCCTATAGAGTCTTGGTCTTTATCATTCTTGCTTCTTAAGATGTTTACATCTATAGCATATTAACTCTTTTGGTAAAACATAACATAGTTTGTATACAGAACAGGATCGCTGACTTTTAATGTAATTTTGTAACTCAGGTCATTTATACACACACTTATACTGGTCAGTTTTCCAGTCTTTGTTGCAGTTAAACTATGAATACTGGGGCCAGAGTGGTAGTACAGTGGGTAGGGCATTTGCCTTGCACATGGCTGACCCGAGTTTAGTCCCCGACGTCCTATGTGCTCCTCTGAGCACCACCATGGGTAATTTCTGAGTTCAGAGCCCATAGTAGCCCCTGAGCATTGCTGGTATGACCCATAAAACACACGTACACACACAACTTTTTATGAATACTACCAAGAAAATGATTTTTATTGAAACATTAGGCAATTAGGAGAAACTATACATTTTTAAATTACAGAGCACAGAATATTTATTGTTCAGAATACATCCTTAAGTTTACTTGATATTTATTTACCTATTTATTTTTGCTTTGGGGGTCACACCTGGCAATGCACAGGGGTTACTCCTGGCTCTGCACTCAGGAATTACCCCTGGCTGTGCTCAGGGGACTATATGGGATGCTGGGAATAGAACACAAGTCGGCTGCATGCAAGGCAAATGCCCTAACCGCTGTGCTATTGCTCCAGCCCCTTACTTGATATATTTTATTTATTTATTTATTTTTAAATGAATCACAATGAGACAGAGTTACAAAACTGATAATGGCTGTGTTTCAGTTCATACAGTGTTCCAACTCCCACATCTCCACCAGTGTACATTTCTCACCACCAATGTCCCCAGTTTTCTTCCCACCACTATTCCCCGAGGCTGTCTCTATGGCAGACACTTTTCTTCTTTCTTTCTGTCACTCTCTCTCTTTCTCTTTGTCTCTCTGTTTCTCTCTCCCTCAATTTCTTTTTTCTCATTCTGGACATTATGGTTTTCAATGTAGGTAATCATGTTTGTTCCTTTACCTGTTTTCACCATGCAATTATTATCAGAACTTATCACCAGAGTGATTATTTTCAACTATCTTTGTTATGGTGCTCCCTTCTCTGTCCCAACTTCCTTCTCCCCAAGCATCTGATGCAGGCTTCCAATCCTCCTGACCCTTGTTTATAAATGGATGGAAATGGAGAATATCATGCTGAGTGAATTAGTCAGAAGGAGAGGGATAGACATAGAATGATTGGACTCATTTGTGGAATATAAAAAAAAATAATATGAGACAAATACCCAAGGATAGTAGAAACTTGGTATTTTTTTTTTAGTTTGGTCGCTTTTCAGTACAAACCTGAAAGTCTGCCCAGCAGCCAGGACTTAAACAAGTTTCCCTTCCCCCATGCACAAGCTGGATGTCTCCTTAATTCAAGCCGATCAAGAAGAATCGCTGATCGAGGGGGGACACGGAGGGTTGGGGGAGTCACTTAATGACTTCGTTAGTATTTGAATTTTTTTTCCTCTTTCAAGTCCAAATAGAACCTTGATTCTGGCACAAAATAACCAATAGCGAAGTGTTTAGCCATTCTGATTGCTATGACCGAGGGGTACAGACTAGAGCGGACACAGAGGCCCCCTAGCCCAGAATGAGCCCGGCCTCCCTCCCCTACACTTCATCTTCCTCAAGCCATGGGCCTCCCCCTCTCCCGGCCAGGGGGCTCCCAGCCCCAGCCCTGAATGCAGGCAGGCTTGTGACTTGCTTTGCAATAGGTGGGACTGAAGGCTCAGCTTGGCCCAAAGAAGTCTTGCTAGGGTTTTTCTCTTCTTCCTTCTCAGAGTGCTGCTTCCCCGCCCCGCCTAATGCGCACTGGCTGAGGTGAAGGGGCCCCTCAGAGAGGCCAGCGGGATCAGACCCACTGTGGCCCAAGATGTAGCACCGGCCAGAAAGCCCATCCCCCGAAGGCATCTTGGATCCCTCGAGACAAGGCCACCCGAGCTCAGCCATGAGCCCTGAGCCCCAGAATCATCACCCAATACAAGGGTGCTGCTTGAACCCACCACATTTGGGGGTGAGTGCAGTCACAGAGAACTGATACAGATGGGTTTTTCATAAATGGAGAGAACTCCTGGGCCCCGAGAGACAGGGACGCAGAGAGAGGGGCAGCTCGATGTGCGGCACCATGTAAGATCCTTGAGCACAGAACCAGGAGTCAGCCCTGAGCTCCGCCCCAAATCCCCAAATAAATAAACTACTAGAGAGGT